TGGAACGCTGTTTTTAGGGTGGCCCAAAAACACTGAAATTATATTTTATTCGATTTGCACCACCACAGAAACACGATTATTTTTACATACTTAGGAGTTTGACCGTAGCAGTGCCATCCGTTGTTCACTCGGTTATTTCCATAGTGCATGAAGAGCTCTGATCATGCCCCCTGAAACTGGCATGTCTGAAAGCATGAATTAAGTTCTTCTGTAACGCAAAGCTGCTAAATAGCTACGATACGGCGATGATAGTAGCAAGTCGTGGTCTACATAGAGAGCAAAGCTCGCTGCATAGGCAGTGAACGATGCACAGTGCTCCACACAGATGCGTATGAGCAGTTGATGCGAGAACGAATCTTCCACCGTTTGGTTACGTTGAGTTACGTCTGTTCATACAGTACGAAAAGATGGCGCTGCGTGAGTTGCGCTTTCTTGTTTGAGTCACGACCATCAGGAGTGCGGGATGACGCATGTGACCATCAGATCGGTTGACGTTGGTCAGCGGGCTTTTGCAACAGGGTACACAAAGTTTCTGCGCTTCTGAGGTTTGTTCATTGCGCGGGTTTACGTTTGGATTCCAAGAAGCACTTCTTTGTAGAGGTCAAACGAAGGTTCAGAATTACGAGTCCAATGTTAGTTTTCTGTGTTGGTGCTGCGTTTTTCAGTGCATCTGCACTCAACCTCTCAGACGCCGACACACAAACACACACTGTTGCATTCTGTTAGAGCAATGTGAGGGTTTGAGATACACTTGAGACACACTTCAGCCTTTGCTTATGTTTGCGTTTTTTACGATGCATTTATTTATTTATTTATAGGGCTCGAGAAGACAGAGTGGCTGAATTTTTCGTTGCCAATCTTTTCATGGAAAACTAAATTGCGACTTTGGGTTAACAATTGCAATTAAAACATATGGTTGATTGCGTTCGTTTTTGATGACGTAGAGAACGACAGCGTTCAAAATCACTAGACACTTAAATTCAACCGACAGAAGCGGTCCTGCATCCAACGCACTGCAAGTGGTCAAATACAATGAAGTACTGGACTGTTCAAATGGTTCCTCTAAGCGACTAGAACAAACGGCGTGATACACTAAAGTAAAAAAATCCGTTTTTCAAACAGAAGTTGAAAATTCATAATTCATCGATTCGCTATATATATATATATATATATATGCGTACAAATAGCGGCAGATCATGTTGAAACAAGAACGCGTCATTTTTCAG